AGATGGAAAATCAGCTTTTTCTCTTCCGCCTGCCAAGCCAGGACTCCCCTAACTCCCAGCTCTCCTTTCTCCTCATCACTCTGTAATTATGTCTTAATATCTGAAATTCAATGATCTTAAAGAGAACAAAAATCAAAAAATTGAAAGACCTTTCAAACGCATGGTGTGACAGCTACTTTGAACATTTTCTTCAATTTCAGTACCCTCATATGTTTCCTGAAATTGAGAATTATTGGACTCTGGACCTCATTTCTTCCTGCAAATAACCAGAAAATGGCCTACTGGCTCCTTCTGTTCACAAAAGCTCATTGTGCAGTTGTAGCTACTGGCTGGGAAATATACACTGTTAAGCAAACTGATGACTACAGTGAAACTGATATGTATATCCTACAACTGGGGTACAGTCAGCAAAAGGCTCCTAGGATTAGAAAACATTACAGTTATTGGAGGTAAGGAAGCACATTAGCCATGGCCTGGATCCTGGAGAGAGGGCCCTTTGAGAGAATGGAGGTGGCTAATTTGAAGGGCAGAGCACATTCCAAGCATGAGATCCCCTTTGGGAAGACAGAGATGGAGTTGGGTTGAACAGACTAATGTGGCCTCAGACTTACTTGTGTGAAGAGTGTCAGAAAGTACAGGAAACAGTAGGAGTTCAGACAAGTAGACAGCCTAGACGTTCTCCTTAACCTTTAATAGGCTAAGTGCTGTGACCCACTCTGTCATGCTAGCTTAGTGGAATGGTAAAAACACAGGCCTTGGCATCAGCAATAACCTGCTTCTTACTAGTTGTGTGACTTTGAACAAGTTACTCATCCTCCTGAGCTTTCACTTGACTCAAATATGAAAGGTGGGAAATTCTTAAGAGTTTTGAGTTGGCATAATGCAGATAAAGTGCTTAACATAGCGCCAGCCATCCGGTAGAGTCATCACTACTGGAGACCCAATCGACATTAAATTGATCTTCCTTAAGAAGATCTGTGTCTTGCTCATGAAGATAAGCAAGACATATCCTCACTATCCAGCTCTGTGTCCGGTAGATGGAAACTGTGCTCTCATGTCAAGTTCATTGCATTGTAGAGACAGAAGCAGTTTTAGACATCCCAGTGACAGCCAGAGAAATGAGGAAATGCTGCAGGGAACGAGGATGACAAGACTAACAAGTCGGAGGTGCTTTCTCGGGTTTAGCTTGTTCTCTCAGGTTTTCTGCTCTCTACCTTCTGATTTCTACCATAAAAATCATGTCCAGTCCCTGGAGAAGTGCAAGGGGATTGGGTAGAGGGAGGGAGGCTTAGGTTATTGAATGATATACACATTTCAGATCACCTGATTCTGATGACCAAGGGTCTTACCTCAAAAAGGATCATCTTATAATGGCTAAAATGGTCAGAAACCCCAGGTAGTGCGCCTCACACTCACTATCCCTTAGATGGACATGACTGTTGGAAGCACTTAGAGTAGTCTCCTAGGAACAAAAAACTGAAGTTTTACTCTTTTTAGACTTTAACCACTTATTTTCATCTCTGTTTCCTTGATAGTCCTATGATACTGTGAAATTCATTCGGCCAACATAATTTCTATTCATTCAAACTCTTCCCCCTCCCCACCCTGAACAGTTCCATTTTGCCATTAGCTCTCACTTCACATTTGGCACTTATTGGGTTACAGTATGATTTATTCCTTGACTTTCAATGTTTTTGTCTTTCTCCTTCCTCATAATAACAGCTTATTGTGGTGATTTAATTGCTTGTGAGATGCAAATTGTATTGGTTATCTAAGGAAAAAAATATATTTTTATGATTTTCAGAAGCAATTCTATTTAAATAACTCTTTTCTAAACCAGGCAGGGTCTTAACTATCAATGAATAAATACTTCTTTTACTTTTGAAAGTTTTTTGTATTCATGGAAAAGCGTTAAAAGCTTATGCTGTCCCCAAAATGTGCCTGAAGACCTCAGATCTATTCTAAGGGATTCTTTTTAGAGGATCTCTACAAGAGTCTGCCTCATCACAAACACAATACACTTTGAACAACTAAAGAGTAGCTGATTCTCATTCATTTGTTCAGCCAGCATTTATTGAATCTTGAATCCTTCCCAGGGGATGTGGTAAAAACCACAGTCTCTGACATCAGTAAAACAATGGATGAGATGAATGTCACAGATTTAGCTACATAACAGCACATTTGAGGGCACGGAGCAAGACCATCTACCCCCGTGGGAGAGGTCAGGAAAGATTTCCTAGAGAAGTCAATGCTCGAACTAAACCCAGAACAGTGAGCATTTTAGGTAGAGTGCAAAGACAGAATCCTAATAAATGAGCACTTTTGGTGACAAGAAAATCCTGAAGGGCTAGAGTGCAGGCTGCGTACTGAGGAATGAATAGAGATGATCACCTGGAGAGAGAGAAGGCAGGAGCTCTTGCCATCAGTTACTCTCTTCTCTCTCCAGTTGCCCACCCAGTCTCCTTGGTAGAGCTTCTAGACAAACAAACCTCTTTTGTTCATTAAACTCTATGACAAGTGTTGGATTATCAAGGGGAAAAGACAAGCCTGCATTCCAGGTCTTCATACAGTCTGGTGGAGGAGGCTGATATGTAAGCAAATAATTACAATGTGGTCCGTTAGGCACTAAAATAGAGGTTGATAGACAAGTGATAACTGCTTTGAAAGAATCACAGAAATTTCTATAAAAGAAGTGACTTAAGAGCTGAGTTTTAAAGATATTATAGGATTTTAGAAAGAGGAAATAACATGGGCAAATAATTGAATGGTGTTTTGTGGACCCACAGGTATTTTATTATTTTTGGAACCTCAAGTTCCAAGGAAGTGGGAGAGGATGAGGTGAGAGAAGTAGATAGAGGCCAGTCCATAAACAGCCTTATAGGATATGCTAAAGAATTTGATGTTTACCCAATAGGCACCATGGAAAACCAATGAAGGCTGTTGGAGGGAGGGGTTACAGTAATATGGATGGTCATCTTTGCATTTCGAAAGGTTTATTCTTTTTAAGGCTAGAGTAGTGCAGATGGAAAGGAGGGAACAGTTTCAAGAGCTATTGGTACATGCTTGGTCTGCCCTTAAAAAAGGCAAAATGACTGTTGATCCTTGATATAAATTATTGATTTCAAAAATACTTATGCTTTTAAACACTCCCTCTACATTTATAAAACATATTACCTGATTCAGAATTCTCATATCTCACCTCAGATCTCTTTCATGTTTTTGTTTACAACTCACAACAAGCCAGTAAAGAAAACCTACTTGATCTCCATCTTAGAAAACTTAACCCTTTTTTTCATTTCCATATATAAGTATAGCTGGTATACAATCTTATACTGATTATATTGGTTTCAGGTAATTAGGCATTTTTATACCTTACAGTGTGATCACACCACTAATTCTAGTAATCATTTGTCACTGTTCGAACATATCACAATATTGACTATAATCCACTTCCCCTTTTCACCCATCTAAGTGTTAAGAGTTTGAATTAGAATAGATTTCCTTTACTTTCTGCTGATAACTTTGCTTAAACGTCTTTGCAAAAAAACAAACCTGAATAAAGAAAAGATTGGTGGAGAAGATGTGATAGAGAGGAAGAACAAGAATATTATTGATATTCTTGGATATCTATATTCTTATGGCTACTATGTATGGGAACGGATATTAACTAGACTTACTGTGGTGGTAATTTTATAATATATACAAATATCGTCATTATTTTGCTCACCTGAAACTAATATAAAGTTACATGTCAATTATACCTCAATTAAAAAAAAGAATATGTATTATGGATAAATGATTCAGGAATAATTGGGATACAATTAATTTAAAGTTAGTAAGACAATTACAAGATAGAGTTTGGGGCCTTTTAATGAATAAAGCAATTTGGATGCCTTGTAATCAGCTATCGCTTAGGATAGCTAATGAGTATATCCTATTTAAACTCTACATTTGTTCCTAATCTTCTCACTTTCCGCCAAGGGACAATAAATTTTGGTTCATAGAGCCTCATTGTCTAATTCCCAGCCTGAGATCCATGAATGTGATAATGGGAGTCTATGAGCCATTTAATAGTTGAAAAAAGCACCAAGACTTAACATTTACCTGCAGTAAGGCTGCACAGACTCATTAAAATGTTATGCTTCTTTGCTTTCTTCAGGAATTTATATCAAGTTACCACAGTCACTGGTTATCTTAGGCAGCTTAGCTATTTATGGCATTATAGAATTTATCGAAAAAATATTGTTTTAAAACATGGGGTCCAAATCCACGAGGCTACAGCCCTCTCTGGTGTAGCCCATTTCTCTCTTGAAATGTACTTCAATAAATATTACTTTTCCTAAAAAAAAAAAAAAAATGGGTACCATGTTGGGGGAGGCATTGTAATCAAAGATTTCTGGTTCTGAAAAGCTTAGACATCCAAGCTTGGTTATAAGTGTATTATGTTTGAAACCAATGGAATTTGGCTAGCTAATTGAGCAGTATTCTGCAAAAATAATTTATGAAGCTTTTGTTTCATAAATGTACATCTATACAAATGTACACTTCTCTAGAGGGAATAAGAGAGTTTTGCAGATACATCTGCATCTCAAAAATAAATATAGTTACATAAAAGACCATTTTAACAATTTTTATATTTTATAAGAGATGCAACCACTAGATGTTATATCTTGGACTTCTGTAGATCACGTGGAAAAGGTAGAATTGCATTCTGACTTTGATTTTAATCCAGAGTTTCAGTGAATATTAAAAAGGTACAACATTTAGCATTTAGTCTCTTTTTTAGTGTATTTTTTACTCTCAAGGTGTGCCTCACATGAGATATTCTGAAATTGTCCTCTGTAATCTCAGGCTTTTATGTTGCATTTTCATAGGAGCTTAAAACAATTTGATGCATGACTTTTTTTTCCCCAGAGTTTCTTATATTTACTAGTAAGCTATTCTTGTGACTTCTTTTAATTAAATTATGAAAATTAATATGTGATATGCTGCTCTTACAGAATAATGAAATTCCACGTCGCAAAACGGAAGTTTAAAGAAACATTACGCCCATACGATGTAAAAGATGTCATTGAACAATATTCTGCTGGCCATCTCGACATGTTGTGTAGAATTAAAAGCCTTCAAACACGGTAAGCAATGAAAATAGCATTTGTTGAAAAGGAGAGGCATATAAACTATCAGAGGAACTCTGTAGTAGAGAAAACTCTTAAATTTCATGTTTCTAATGCATTTCTAGTGGACAACTGGACTTTGCTTTTAACATAAATTTTATTTAAGGATGTAAATCAAGTGCTAACAGCCTCCAACTATACAGTGTCTCAGTTTCCTCATCTGTACTAATGGTGATATTGTTAGTGCTTGTATCATAGGGTTGTCACAAAGACTGAATGAGTCAACACAAGTTAACTGCTTGCACAATAAATGTTAATGGTTGTTCTGGTGTCATTTGAATTATTGCTGCTCCTGTTGTTTTTGTTATTATCTTGGTATACTGCACCAGAGAGTTGAGACTGAGAAATGACTCGTTGGCTCTTGTATTCTTTCCTGGTTGCAAGTTTGTTCTCCTTGTTTGTGGCTAAGACTGGGCCTTTCCCTTCCTCCATGTCCTGTATAATGCTAGAGACACACTGTCTTTCCAGTGAACATGTTATTGAGTGATTAAAAGAAATGAGTTCAACATATTATTCCAACTATATGTGTTTGATTGTGTTATCTGAAAGCCAAATTATTTAGTAGATTCAGTTTTTTAAGAATCTTGCTTCACTATCAGGTATAAATTACCAGCATTTGTGATTGAACAGTTCTTAAAATACAAGGACTAAGTCTGAAACATTCATTTATATGCCCATAGCACACTTATCCCAGGGTGAGGCATATACTAGGCCTTTAGTAGAACATCTGTTCATCAATTATTTTTTAAAAAATCACAATTTGTTTATTCATTCATTAATTTAGCAGATAATTATTGAGCCTATAATACGTGCCAGGCATTGTGGACATCCAAATATTAATAAAATAATGACCTCTGTCCTTCTGAGCTTGCAATTTAATAGGTAGGCACTGCCTGTATTTCTATGCAGAAAAAGTAAACCAGAAAGTTGAGTCAGTAGTCTTGATAATTCAGTTGTAAAAAACACAAAAAAGAAGAAAGTATTGTAATTCTCATTTAGATTGATCAAGTATTTTTGGAAATTATTTCAACTCATCCTGTGGTCATGTTACAGCCTCATACATGGTAACAATCTTCCAAGTCCTATAATAGAACTATCTGTGGCTCTCACAGTTTTTATAAAATCAACTGCTACAGAATTTGCAGAACAAATCCTGAGTTTCTAGCTTATGTAGAATATATTCTCCAAATGGAATTCCAATAGCTTTCTTATCCGCTTATCTCCCAAATATTAGATGTACAATAAGTGTTCATTGAATAATCTAGTCTATTAACATTAAATAATCATAATTATGATTTTGTTATATTTTAAGTAGCTGAATTCAGGAAATACTTGGTCAGAGATGGAAACAGACAAATCGCTTTGTAGTTTAAGACAATTTTTCCTCTAGAAGATCACCCATAAATGATTTTATCATGGATTGGAATAATGAAAAAATTAATCTCGTGTAATTCTCATGTTAAGAAAATAAGCACATCAACTGAAACAAGTTCATTTTTGCTTCTTCTTACATAAATTAAAGATAATTGTATTTAATTTTTCTTTTCAAAACACTTCATTCTGGCCTAAGGCAACCTCCATCTTTAGCACTCACATCATATCTCCTCTTTCTCTGATAGTGTTGATCAAATTCTTGGAAAAGGGCAAATCACATCAGATAAGAAGAGCCGAGAGAAAATAACGGCAGAACATGAGACCACAGATGATCTCAGTATGCTTGGCCGGGTGGTCAAGGTTGAAAAACAGGTACAACTCAAAAATACTAGTTAACTTTTTAGCCAGAATTTTTTTAAAATCAAACTGATTATAGGCAATTGGATATGTTTAGTGATTAGTATATTTAAAGAGAAATAAAATCAAGAAAGAATGAATGAAATTAATTTTTCTTTGTGTGTAGAAAGTGTTCTCTAAACACCTGGATTTCCATATAAGGAATAGAAAATTTCATCCCATCAAGCAGGTAGCAACTGTATATTTTCAACAGTAAGATTAAAAGTATCTATTTTTCATTTGTGTTTTGGTTATTTTCATTGTCTTTTAGGTCACTCTTTAAAAAAAACTCATTATTGCTATTATGATAAATTGAATGTTTATTAACCCTCAAGCTGTATCTCATACAAATTTTCCAGAAATCAAATTGCTCCCTCAGTTTAGTTATAAATATCCTAGGTATTAATTCTGAAGCATTTTGTACCTTTATTTTTAAGTTTACCTAGACTGACATTTAAGGTCTTGTTTTTATTACAGAATAAGTTCCTTACTACACTGCAGTACAATTCCAGAATGTCTTCACAGAAGAGGCTTAGGAAAGGCAAACTGAGTAGGCTGGGGAGTCGGAGTTGCATTTGTATAAAGTGCTTATATGTTTCTTGAGAACATCAATTGTCCATTTTAAAGACTTGGGGGAGAGGGGTGCCAATGGAGATTAGGTAGATGCCAAAGCATCTCTCTCCTCTCAAGTTTTCCTTTGGCCCCACCATTGCTAGACGTCACTCTCTAAAACAGCACTGTGTCAGGACTGTATTATACCTTACACTCAATATTTAACTATATTGACACACCTTGACTTCATTTTTTAATCCTAGACAGGAAGCCCATTCTTACTAACAGGTTATACTCATCTGTAATCATTTTCCCCATTTTTAGGTACAGTCCATAGAGTCCAAGCTGGACTGCCTACTAGACATATATCAACAGGTCCTCCGGAAAGGCTCAGCTTCAGCCCTCACTTTGGCCTCATTCCAGATCCCACCCTTCGAATGTGAACAGACGTCTGACTATCAAAGCCCCGTTGACAGCAAGGACCTGTCCAGTTCCGCACAGAACAGTGGCTGCTTAACCAGATCAGCTAGTGCCAACATCTCTCGTGGCCTGCAGTTCATTCTGACGCCAAATGAGTTCAGCGCTCAGACTTTCTACGCGCTTAGCCCTACTATGCACAGTCAAACAACACAGGTGCCAATGAGTCAAAGCGATGGCTCTGCAGTGGCAGCCACCAACAATATTGCAAACCAAATAAACGCGGCACCTAAGCCGGCAGCCCCAACAACTTTACAGATCCCGCCTCCTCTCCCAGCCATCAAGCTTCTGCCCAGGCCAGACACCCTGCACCCAACCCCCCCAGGCTTACAGGAAAGCATTTCAGATGTCACCACCTGCCTTGTTGCTTCCAAGGAAAATGTTCAGGTTGCACAGTCGAATCTGACCAAGGACCGTTCTTTGAGGAAAAGCTTTGACATGGGAGGAGAAACTCTGCTATCTGTCCACCCTGTAGGGCCCAAGGACTTGGGCAAATCTTTGTCTGTACAAAACTTGATCAGGTCGACAGAGGAACTGAATATACAGCTTTCAGGGAGCGAGTCAAGTGGCTCCAGAGGCAGCCAAGATTTTTACCCCAAATGGAGGGAATCCAAATTGTTTATAACTGATGAAGAGGTGGGTCCGGAAGAGACTGAGACAGACGCTTTTGATGCCATGCCGCAGCCGGCCAGGGAATCGGCTTTGGCGTCAGACTCTCTAAGGACTGGAAGATCACGATCATCTCAGAGCATTTGTAAGGCCGGAGAAAGTACGGATGCCCTCAGCTTGCCTCATGTCAAACTGAAATAAGTTCCTCGTTTTCTTTCTAAGCATAGCAGTTCCTTTAGCCATACATATCATTGCATGAACTATTTTGAAAGCCCTTCTAAAATTCAATTTGCAAGAATCAGGAAGAACGTGAAAGGCGGTTTATAAGCCCATTATCTTTTAATTGCATGAAAATGCATGTTTAGGGATGGCTGAAATTCCAAGGTACATCAACATTAACCCACTCATTTAGTAACGTACCTTGAGTTAAAAATCCTGAGAAATCGAACACTGCTAACGCTGTGGGGTGTGTGAAAATTAGGTCATTTAGAAGATTTGATTCTGTGTTTTGAAATTATGGGAGTAAACACCTTCAAATTTCAGCCATTTCTGCTTTGCGATTAAATACAAAATACATTTTCAAAATTAGGCCATGATGTATATTTAAACACAATGGTTATCAACAACAGCTGCTAACAAGGTATCAAGTAAAGCAGAATTTGAGAATAATAGAAATGGCTGCTTATTTCGAGATATATTTGCCAACCCATTCCTATTCAGTCATGTTATTATTAATGTAATTTGAATGTCGATTTGTATGCTTTTGGTGATTTAACGCTGTGGCAAGCAATTTTGCACATCATTTTCATGTTGTTGTTCTTTATGACGAGAATGTTCTTCAACTAGAAAATGTGCAAAGCGTGAAATTCAGGGCCAGTGGGGCAAATAGACTGACTATTTGACACATTTGACTTCATGGAAACATATTCCCTAATGGCTGGATCAACTTTCTAAGTGGTCAACTTCTACACAAGCAAATGAAATACCGATCAATAGAACGGCCAGTGTGACTGGGCTGATCTCTCTGCAATGGCGCCACCCCAGGCTTGCCAGTACCGCCCACATAAAGGGGAAGTGTGAGGAGCTATTCCCACTAAGCTGATACACAGGCAGGATCCCAGGGAATGAGACATGTGAGTGAGACTGAGATGGGAAAGGCTGGGGAAGAACCCAGACACAACACCAGGAAGTAAGTGAAGTTCAAGAAAACGACTTCCCCTCAAAGGGCAAGGAGAAGGACAGGAACAAACCAAAATAAAGGAACTTGATTTTTTAGAAAATGAATACTGCTAAGGAGTTCAACTGCCTAAACATCTTATTCTTATATATAAACAGAGAATTTTGCAAGTTATTTATTTTTTAATATGCCCTGAATGTTTTTTGCTATTATGGAGTACATTTTGCATATGAAAGGCTAAAACTAAACCTCCTTTACCTTTTATACCATAGTGAACATTTGCTGTTCTTTCCAAGAATGTTGCCCCAAATCTGAAATTATCGGTTCAGCTTCCTGGTATAAATGTTTACTGTTGGAAGTCAGGTAGCACTGGCAAGGTCTGCAGATCAAAACACTTTATCATTCAGCTTGACGGCAAAAAGCCCAAGAGAAACAAAATGAAAAATGTATTGACCAGAAAGCAAGCAATGCTGACTGCTTGTTAGAAACCAGTCTAGTAATCTCAGATCGGCAAAACTTCGGCCAAGGTAATGGCCTTCAAAAGGTAAGGAGAAGTGCCTCCAGACAAACTTCTCCAGCAGTCCAGAAGAATGAGCAGGGATATCAGCCGGGTACCCAAAGGTGGGAGGAAGCCCTGAAATCCACCAGTCCTTCCTAGCTCTCTTCCACAACCAGCTTTCTCCATCCTCGACTCTCTTTACCTTTCTTCTCCATTAACTGCTTGTCAATTCCCTGTCACTATTTTACTTCTGAACTTCACCAGGCCTTAATCAGCCTCCGTCCCCAAGTAAACCACTTCTCCACTCTACCAAAATGTGCTTCTCAACCTTTTAAAATCCTTGTCTCTTTTGATGGACACTGAAATTTTGAAAGCTCTCTCTTCTCAAACACCCCTGAATTCTAGCATACTGCCCTGGAGTGTACCATTCAGGATCTTCTTGGTTGCTGGAGACACAGAGGAAATAGAGTCTAAATTTTCCACTTTAGTTAAAAAAATTTATCAAGCTTTTAAAGTAAGTGTTTTCATTTTTGAAACAGACTCTTAGTAAATTATTAAATGTGATTTTTTTTTATCTACCCACCTCTCCACTCAACCTGAAGTTGTGATACGCCCTCCAGAGGAGGCTGCACACGCACACGCACACACACACACACACGCACATACACGCCTCCACTGACCTAAAGCCAGACACCTGCCATGCACTTGGAGGTAGAGGATGGAGGCAGCAACTTTCAGGGAGCACTGATTCTTGGACAT